TACCACACCCAGCTAATTTTTTTGATTTATTGTAGAGATGAGGTCTCACCAAGTTGCCCAGGCGGGTCTCAAACCCACGGGCTCAGGATATCCACTCATCTCAGCCTCCCAAAGGCACGAGATTACAGGCTGAGCCACCGAGCCCGGCTTCAAGCCTAGCTCTTTAGATGTCAACTCCATATACCACCCGCGAAAATTGAACCCATAAATTGTCTTTTTGTTTTAGTCAACCACAGTTGGTTTCCATTGCTCGCATCTAGAGAGTCCTAACAAATACAATTATATAGTAACTACACATCCTGGCTTACCTAGAGCAATCCCAGTTTATGCCTGTTGCCCCAGTGTTACATCAGGTTTAACACTGATCCTGAATTTTTCCTTTCATAATTAAGTTTTATTAATAACAGTGAAAATAAACCAAGATGGATTTGGAAGATTTCTACCTTCTGCCATGCTTGTCTAGTGGCACTGAAGTGAGTCCTCACTTTAACAGGCAGTTAAATCCAAAAGAAAAACACCACACACATTCATAATTATATACATAAAGTATTATTCATATACATAAAGAAATGATGTCAAAATAGGTTAAATTTGTTCTCAGTCTACCATGCTTAACAAGGCAAGAAAGAATGATACGTTCTTGAAACAAGATATTCAAAAATAGCTTAAGTTGGATATCTGAAATATAAACATGTTGGCTCTCTGATGATGCCAGATAAGTGTTTGGCAAAAAAAAAGCATATTGCTACAAAACACCTGGGTTCCAAAAAAGGATCACTGAGACAACTAACAACTAATTTCAGATTGTTGTCTTCATTCCAAGAGCCACCAAACCAATTTTCTTTAGACAGTCTGGGCGGGTCAGGGCTGAGATGGTGTCAATATGTAGTCTGCCAGTGATGTCGGTAAATAAGATAGAGGGATGAGGAAAAACTGAGCATCCCAGCCAGCTGAATATCGAGTGCGGGGATGCACAGATGTCAGAGCATGCTCCATGCAGTCAGTGACCAGGTTCAGGTTTGTGCTACACTTCAACAACCCTTGTCTGATGCGCTTGCAAGCTGTACATAAAAAGAAATATTGGTCACTAATCTTATTCCTTACATTTTTAAGATCCTGTTACATGCAGTCACAGAAGTCTTTTTTTTTTTTTGAGTTGGAGTCTCATTCCATCACCCAGGCTGGAGTGCCATGGCACACTCATGGCCATCCCAGCTTCAACCTGCTGGGCTCTGGTGATCCTTCTGCCTCAGCCTTCCAAGTAGCTGGAACTACAGGCTCGTGCTACCACACCGGCTAATTTTTTATTTATTGTAGACATGAAGTCTCGCCAAGTCGCCCAGGCTGCTCTCGAACCTGCGGGCTCTGGCAATCCACTTACCTCGGCCTCCCAAAGTGCTGGGATTACAAGCGTGAGCCACCACACCCAGTTATTTCATTTATTTTAAATAATTTTAACTCAATTCTGTTACTAGAAAATGTTTAAGTATGTTTGGAACAACATAGTTATGTGAAGCTATTTTTTTCAGTTGACTATTTATAAACATCCTAATCAATATACAATTCATACATCATAAAATTTAATAATTTAAAGTGCACAAATCAATAATTTTGAGTATATTCAAAGTTGTATGACCCAAGTCTAAGTTTAAAATGTTCTACATTTAGAACATTTTCAGCATCCAAAAAAGAAACCCTGTACCCATTCCCATTTATCTCCAATTCCCCCAATTTAGGCAACCACTAATCCACTTTCTATCTCTATGGATATGCCTTTTCTGGACATTTTATATTGATGGAATTATATGTTGTGAGCCAGGCGCAGTGGCTCATGCTTGTAATCCCAGCACTTTGAGAGGCAGAGGCAAGAAGATTGCCTGAGCCCAGGGGTTCAAAACCAGTCAGGACAACATGGCAAGACCTCGTCTCTACAATAAATAAATAAATAAATCAGCTAGGAGTGGTGGCACATGCCTTTGGTTCCAGCTACTTGGAAGGCTGAGGTGGAAGGATCACCTGAACCCAGCAGATCACTGTAGTGGCCGTGAGCATGGCACTGCACTCTAGCCTAAGCGACAGAGTGAGATTCCAACTCAGAAAAAGACCGGGCTCAATGACTCAGCTTGTAATCCCAGCACTTTGGGAGGTCGAGGCAAGTAGCTTGCCTGAGTCCGTAGCTTTGAGACCAGCCCAGGAAACTTGGAATGAGACCTTTTCTCTACAATAAATAAATTTTTTAAATGAGCCAGGTGTGGCAGCGCGTGCCTGTAGTTCCAGCTATTTGGGAGGCTGAGGCAGAAGGATCACCGGAGCCCAGCAGGTTGACACTAGGGTGGCCATGAGTGTGCCACTGCACTCCAGCCTGGGCGACAGAATGAGACTCCAACTCAAAAAAATAAAATAAAGTAAAATAAAATAAAAAAGAATTATATGTTATGGTGCTTTGTGATTGACTTCTTTCACTGACCAAAATGTTTTCACAGTTCCTTTATGTTGTAGGAGGTATCAGTACTTCATTCTTTTTTATCGCCAAATAACATTCCCATGTATGTCTACATCATGTTTTATTTATGCAGTCATCGGTTGATGGATGTTTGGGTTGTTTCCGTTTTGGGGTTATTGTGAATAATTCTGCTGGCAACTGTAAATATTATTAAATCTAAATAATACAAATGTAGTATTTTCTAGGAAAATTTAGCATCCATATTGACAGGAGCTATAAGCATAGACGATGAAGACTGCACTTTACTTGAACAGACATCTCACACACAAACCCTGCCAAACCACCAAGGTGTACCCTCTCTCAAGACCCGGAGGTTCCATGCCTGTGAGCATATAATACCTCCTAGTGCTCAGATGGCCGGGCACACAGGTGACAGGGTAGGGAAGAGGCTGGCTCTAGGCTGTCTACATGTCCCCTACCTCAACCACAACAGTCATCACACCAAACCAACCATGAGGACCCTGGGGACTTCCTGACCTCCTTCTGTTCTGGGAAAGTGTTATTAACAAGCTATGTCCTCAGAGGAACTGCCAATCATTGTCCACCAACCCTCTCTTCCCCTTCTCATGCAAGGGTACACACTATTCCTATCAAAAGGAGAAAACTTACCGGCATCAAAGTATTGCTGTCCATAGGCCTCCTTGATGTGCACAGGGGCTTCCTCCCAGGACTGCTGCACACTCTCTAAGGACCGCTTCAAGTCTGTTATTCCTGTTCTGAAGCTGCCAGGTTCAATTATGCTGATTTTCACTCCGAAGTGTTTAAGCTCACGCCTGAAATAAAAACCCTTCAGTCAATTCCTTTGATTGAAAGACACCATCATTTCAATGCTCTGAAGAAGAGAAAAACAAAGCAAAAAAGATTATTTAAAATACTTTTACTAGTCCAGGTGCGGTGGCTCACACCTATAATCCCAGCACTTTGGGAGCCCGAGGTAAGAGGATTGCCTGAGCACCCGGGTTCGAGACCAGTCTGGGCAACTTGGCAAGACCTCATCTCTACAAAAATCAAAAAATTAAACCGGGCTCGGTGGCTCAGCCTGTAATCCCGCGCCTTTGGGAGGCTGAGG